ACAGGATGACCTGAGTGATGGCGGCATCTGTCCCTCTCGTGGCTCAGTGCAAACGGGCCGGCTGGTGACACGCCGGCCAGATGGGGACAAGGCGACGGGGACCGCTGCACCCAGCCATGTCTCAAGTGTTAAAACTAAGTTGTTCTGGAGTTATCCAAGCGCAAAGAAAGATTGTTTGTCCTTTGGAGATGGATTTTTTTTTAACCCCCCCCCCCCTTGCTCACATAACTCAAATGGCTGAAGAGATTTTCTTCAAAGCCTCCAAAACAGCCAGGGTCTGGCGGAGGAGAAAGGTTACGGAGAGTTAGCTCAGAAGGGGGCCTGGGAAATTAAAAACTACTGTAAATTGGGGGCTAAGAGGCTGCCTGGAAAGAGCATGCAGGCTGGCAGAGGGAGGCTGATGGAGATGCTCCCAGCGCTGCTCCTTCGCAGGGCATCATTTCGAAAGGGGTCCCGAATGGGCAACTTGAGGCTGTAAACAAATTTGGCGGTGCCAAGACTTGGGTTGCACAACACACTGAAGGAGGACTCATCGCCAGGCTTTGGAGATACGCTGTCCTCTGCTCCAACCCTTGGGCATGGCTCCCCTCTATGCATTTAGAAAAGAGACAGTCTGGTCACCTCTGCCCCTTGGGACACAGTGTCGTGGACATCCATGTCCAGCCCCACCAGCCTTCATCCACCTCCAGAACAGGAGAGGCCATGGAGCTGGTCGTCAGGAGGAAGGGATACACCTGCCTGTTGAGGGCCAAGTGGTGAAGAGGACCCTTCCCACCAGTGAGCTGAGCTGCACCAGTCCCCGTTCAGGTCCCAAGGGTTTTCCCTAGGAAAAGCAGGTCCTAGGTTTGCTGTTTGAGCTTTGGATGCCTCCATGGGACACTCTCTAGCGAAGCCTTTGCGCTGGTCTGGATGTCCTGACACTTCCGAAAGAAAGGCAAGAAAAGGCGGATGATCTACCCACCAAATCATGTGGCGGCAGGGATGGAGGCATCAAGAGGACTTAGGAGATGGACTACCACATCACAGGCTCTGGCAACAGTAGGAAAGGTAGTTTCCAAACGGCTCTTGATTCCCAAAAGAGCCGTACTAGGTTTGGTAACTTTGGATGGTCTATTTGGAAGATGCGGTTTAATGGCTTAGCGAGCAGCTCAACGCGAGCACGTCTCCACGGTAAAATGAACATGCCCCTCAACTGCCTGCTTACCTACAAACCTGGTGGCCTCAGCACAGCTAAGGGCACTAGAGCAGATTGGCAGTGCTGAGGCCCATGAGATGGGCCCCAGATGTCTGAGCAACTCATCTGGGTCCAGAGACCACCCTGCCCCCGGCACAGCTGTGCCCTCAGTACCTGATCAAGTACCTGGGAAGTTCTGCCGTAGGCAGGGCGGAGGTGGCAGGAGTCTATACCCTCACAGGTGTCCCCATGAGCGTGGTCTTGCAGATGACGGCGTTCGGTATTGCTCTGCTCTCAATCCTCTTCCTGGTCATCGCCACGTGCACCGACTGCTGGATGGTGAACGCTGACGACAGCTTGGAGGTGAGCAGAGCAGCGATGGGGCGGTTGGGACCCCGTCTGAGCCTTGCTACCTGCAGGATTGCAGCGTGTCTCCACAGGCCTAGAGAGAGGCGCTCTTGAGATAACCCACCACTCTTTACTTGACCTGGAAAATTAGCCAGGAACTAGAGCAGAAAGGAGTCACTGGGACATGTCTGGCCATGGTGGTGAGATCAGCGTGACTGTCTTACTGGGTTTGGATGTCCCGGGGGAGCTGGGGGGGGGGGCGTATGGTGCTTTGGGGTTTTTTTCTGACCCTTCCAGGTGAGTCACAAGTGCCGGGGGCTTTGGAGGGAGTGTGTCACCAACATGCAGGATGGGGTCAAGACCTGTGACCAATATGACTCCATTTTGGCAGATCACCCAGGTAAGTTGGCCTGGCCATGGGGGTGGAGGTGTGTCCAGGGGACTGCTGGTACTGCACAGTATTAAACGACCCGTTGCCAGCACGGGGACTTCACTAAGGCAAAGCATTTCGCTATTCCAGCCACCGAATCCTTCCAACATCTCACAAACATCCCCAAAACCATTTCAACTTCGTGGCTAAGAGCATTCCCTCCTTCCCTTTCGAGAAGATGATCCTCATTGCCAGGGCTGACTCTCGTCGGGTAGCAATGCAGGAGCTGGTCTTTTCTTGATCTCTCGCCCCATGAGCACCCATGGACCAGTGACCCATGGACCAGCCATGGGATGATGGAGCAGGAACGAGGCCATGAAGCAGTGCTGAGAGGCCACCTTACATCAGAGAGGGTTGCTAAAGCATGCAGAGCCCACCCCTACCGCATGGTGGGATTGCCTCCCCTCTCAACCAATGTAGGTGACCGGAGAACCCAAAATGGGCCGAAGCAGGTTGCATTGATGTTGCATGGGGTCGATGCAGGTATTGAAGTCAGTAGGGTGAAGACCATTCCCATCAGCCAAGGACTCGCCTCCTCTGCCCATGGACAGTCACATCATGGTACAGAGACCTCTCCTTGCCTTGCCTGTGCAAGAAAGGTCTCAGGGAAGCGACTTCATCCCAGGTGTTGGCTGGTGCCCCTAAAATTGCTTGGTTTCTTGAGCCGGTCTGCTAACAGGTTTATTAAATCCCGTCCCAAGATTTCTGGTAAGCCTGCTGAGCATGTTGTCTATGGTGCACAGTGGGCAGCACAGAGCTGAGAGGGGACAGCGGGTTTGCTTGGTCCCAACTTCGACATCTCCTGTGGAGATGCCCACCAGTGAACCAGCTGTCTCTAGTGAGGACACAGAGACCAGCCATGGAGCACAGAGAGCAGATCCTCTGACTGTTCCTCAGCCCATTTCTGCTTCTTTCCCCACCCCAGTGAAGATCGTGGTGACGCGGACATTGCTGATCACAGCGGACCTCCTGGCAGGCCTGGCTTTGGCTACGTTGCTCCTCGGACTGGATTGCATCAAGTTCCTCAAGGAGGAGCCCCGCGTCAAACTGAAGATGTGTTACGGGGCTGGCGTCATCCTTGGCATCGGGAGTGCGTGGCCGGACCACACGCAAGGGGTGGCCTTGAGCAGCCAGGGGGACATGGGGAGCTCGAGGCACCCCTTGGAGAGGGTCTTGGGGAGCAAGGGGGGGTTTTCTGGTGCTCTGTTCATTGGTCCCGTTCCTCCTAGGTGTCCTGGGTCTTGTCGGCTCGGTGTGGTACGCAGTGGACGTCTACGTGGAGAGAGCCACGCTGGTGTCACACAACATATTCCTGGGAGTCCACTATGACTTCGGATGGTCCTGCTGGCTGGGGATGGCCGGCTCGACGGGCTGCCTCGTGGCGTCCGTCATGCTGACCTGCTGCCTTTACATCCGCACAGGT